GCAGTCTGCCTTTGTACAGAAATATATAGTAACATATCACACCTACAGCAGAGCATATCACCTACAGCTCAACAGCAGCACCTCCACGATCAGAGTATCTGTTTACAACCCGTTGCTCATCTAATTTATACCACTGGAAATCTAAAACAAGCCTTTTAAAACCACATTTAAAAAAAAATATAAGTGCAAGATTAAAAAAGGGAAGGGAGCTTAATCCAGTTTTTCTTGCTGATTGGGGTGACTTACTTGATTGCAATAATCATGAGGGAGACAGTAATGTTTGTAAGATGGCAAAGATTACATAACACCATTTGAGTTTTCTGAGCCCATTTGGGCTACAGCATACCAGAAACACAGACAGCATCCAAAGCTCCACTTCTGACACAGAATTTCACCTGACTGATGGCATCCTGACTGCTATTTGGATGCTTGTCTGTGGTAAAGAAAAAAAAAAAATTCAGGCCTGCTCTACTATTTGGCTTTGCATACCTTACATGTCCTTGTAGATCATATTTTATACAGCGGGTCTGGGTACTTATGTAGTTTTGTGTAAGTTTCCAAGGACGTGGTTGTATGATTTTTTTTTTTTCTTTTCTTTCTAAATTTGGTTTGGTCAAGTTAATCTTTAAGGTTTACTTGTTCCAAAGAGTCTGCAAGGATGAATGTTTGCTTACAATGTTTGAAAGCTCTTATCCATTTCCTTATTTGCACACAAAAAAAAAAAAAAAAAAAAAAAAAAAAAACCAAAACCCCAAAAAAACAACCAAACCAAACCTCTTAATGAGATATTCCCCACAATGAGAATATTTTGAAGAGTTGCATACATTACTGTAACACTGGCATAAGTCAAAACATACACCAAATGTTTCACAATTTGTAGTTTCCTTTGCTAAGCATAAGGATCATCTTTGAGCATAATACCTTACTCTGTTTGGAGTTCAAAACACTTTTCTAGTATGTTAAGCCACTTCCCACAAACTTCACTCTCAGGAAGTTTGAACTGGCTGCTTTTCCAAAGACATTTGAAGGATGCCAGTGTTCTCAGCTTTGTAAACTCAAAATGAACTTGTATTCATGTTTCAGATCAAATGAAGGGCTCAAGTTTTGTAATTTTATTTTTTAATCACTGCGGTAGCACTTTGGAATCCAAATCTCCAGTTCTTATTTTTCTTCTGTAAGCACCCACTCTCGTATTTTGCTTAGTCTGTCTGCCAGCACCATTATCTTCAGTCTTTTCACAGCAAAAATAGGCAAACACAGATACTGCATTTCTAAATCAGAGGCTGGGTGAGAACTCAGAAAGGGTTCATAACAATAAATAAAACAAATATTAATGATCAGCTGAAATAGGTGATACAGTTGTCTCTCCAAACACCCGAACAGTTCCACTGAAACAGGTCTCATAAAACTATTTTTCTTTTCAGATGATGCTTATTAAATATATAAGCCTTAGACATTTTGAGTTGAGCAGTATACTAAATAGTGGTAATAACAGTACTAACAGCAGCAATGTGCTTTTTTTACTCTGGAGGAAAATAAACCAACCCAACCAACAAAACCAAAACAAAATAAAAAATATCCCACCTCACTCATTATCTCAAGGACTTCTAGAGCAGTATCAGTTCAGAAGTAGGTTTTGAAGTGCAGCCACTCGTGGATATAACACAAAACAATTTTTACAAGTACCCTATGCAAACGGTGAGCGCAAAGAAAGTAATATTACAAAAGAAAACACATTTGACTAGTAACTGAAAGTCTGAGGCCTAAATTCTAGCATAGTCCTACAAACCGCTACTCAAGCTGTAGATTTGAGAGAGGGTGGTCTCGGGCCCAACCAAGGACAGTCTGCATGCGGCTTTTTCTTGAGGAAACCATTGACATTTCCCTCCAAGCTTTAATCCATGGTCATCATTGTCATATTAGATGTATATTGGACTATTTCCAGGAAGAGATCTTTTCAGTAGTCATTCAGAAAATCATAGAAGTCCACTGACACCGAACAAGGGTCAGATCCTGTAGATACATAGGCTCGTCAGCCAAGGGGGCCACCGTCTACACAGAGATGCTGCTGCAAAGCAGCCATAGTTCCTATTTTTAGCCATGAACTAACGGAAGACAAAGGTGGCTAACATCTATAACCCCTTACTGAATTGCATTACATCACATGAGTATTTTCCTGCAAGAGCAGGGAGTTCTGAATTTCACCCTCCTTTCAGATCTTCTCATACTGATGGGTGTTTTCACCTTCTGAAACAAAAGTCAGTACGACCCAACCATCCGATGTTGATTTAAGAGAATACAGGATTTCCATTCAGTTGCTAGATAGGATTCTTTAAAAGAAGAGGTGGGAAAATGTTCAGAATGAAAAAAGCACACAGAGCCAGTGCTGCTGCCTACTGAATTGTTAGCTGGTGCACACAGCCCATCACACTGCCAGAGACAGCATAACAATCTCCTCTTAGTGACTGGAAGGATGAGCAGCCAGCTGAATACATTGCTTTTGCCTTCATGCCTCACGTTCACCAGACACGACCCTGACATGGCCAAAGACTGGGTCCTTCTGAAACATACTTAGATTTAGCAAATTAATGACAGCCTATAGCAACACATGTCTATACCTACAAATCAGACGCAAAGCCTTTCAGAAGCTTGAGGAGTCTTCCATATTACTACATTATTGAAAGAACTGGAGGGGATAATGTTTTACACATTTTCTGTGTTTATTCATTTAAAGGGTTGGATGTTCGGGTGCTTTAAAACAAATACTTTAGAAGAAATCAAAAGGAAACCTTAGATGTCTTCAAAGAAACACTGCTACTACCAAATGTAAAACAGCACTATAAAACAGTCACAGTCACATCATTTAAAAGTTGTTTTTCACATAAGTGAGCTGCACTACAATAAATATTCTGGACAGTAGATGTCCTAATTGTAATTTGGCAGCACGCTTTGGCTGCACCAACCTAGTTAAATAAAGTAAGTGTCAGAGAGTTATTGAGTAAAATCTGCCTTATAAGGCAAAGAAAATACTTCAGTTTGAGATGTGTAATAAGCAACAAACATATACTATTAGGTTTTGCTTTTGAGATAAAATAAACATAATAAATGTGGTTCTGCTAAAAGTTCCAGTCAGCTTTTCAGGGGGTTTTTTTTGGTTGTTTTTTTGGTTTGTTTGGTTGTTTTTTTGTGTGTTTGGGTTTTTGTTTCTTTGGTTTTTGTTTATTTTTTAAATAATATTTGTGAGGTTTTGCTTGGCTTAATAACGTAGACAGTTAAAGCAATCCCTGAACTGTGTTAATGTGATGTTCCCAGTCAGGGAATTTATCAATAAAACTGGTGAATTCATTCACAAGATAAAAAAAAACTAAAAAAATTATACAGTCAAGGAGATCCAAGATAACCTCCCATTGCTGATCAGTGTTTGAAATCCATTATGCTATGTAAACACTAAGGTCAGATAAGCCTTTTTAATATAAACAATAGGCAAAAGTGCTCTTAAAAAAAAAAAAAAAAAGAGCCTATAAAATTAAGACTATATATATCAGTGGACTCGAATTGTCTCCATGTACATCCAGTCAATCAATCCTATCCTCCAGACTCAAGCTTTGTTGGCCAAGTAAATGCAAACAGTGCTTTTATTTACTCCATTGCAAGGGAGAAAAAGGTAAAGCAGGAGGAAATGGTACAGTTCAGTGTCCAAACTATAAATAGCTTTAGGTTTTAGAAAAATATGAACCAGAGAACTGAGCATTTCTGGATAGCAAACACAAGGACTGTTTTTAGAGAAACGCATGCAGCAGGTCTTAAAATAACTGACAGTTTTACTTTGTAGTTTTACTTCACTGTTTTTCCAAGCTATTTTGGAAACTTTTGAAATCTCTCTTCTGTGTAGAGGATAAATTTCAGTTGAAAAAAAGCCACAACTTGTTCCACCACTGCATAGGTCTTTTCAATAACAAGGGACAAGCTGCAGTGTATTTAAAGTATTAGCTTATCATTGTCTAAAATTATCCAATATATCCAGAATAATTTAAGTGGGTTAAAAATGTCACAGAAATAAACAATCATTCCAAGTTTGAGAACTCTTTGCTCCTGAAAAATACTAGCGATGCCAAAAGAGCTTACACAGGTCAGAAGGAAAAATTCAATGAATTCGTTCTTGATACAGAAACACTATAACAAAGGAAAGAGTCAGATTTCTTGTCTGACAGATCCAAGAAATACAGGGAAACAAAGGTATTTGAATACAGATCATCAGATTATTTTTTAAAAAAAAAAATCAGTTAAAATATCAGAATTGGTACTAGATTTCAGATAAAGATTTGGGGGTCAAGAAAGTAGCGAGAGCAAGACATATCATGTTTATCTTAACTGACTGCTCAGAATAGATTCATATCTAAGTAGTTGTCTCCAGCTACTAATGTAAGTTCAGTCTAAAGCTCACACCAAAGGCACGGTAGTCAGCATGTGCTGAACAAAAGAGTTTCTGCTCTGTACCACTGAACTGTTTGACTACATCCCTCCATGTAAATACCTGTACTGTAAGTGTTAACTGAAGCAAAGCATGGTCTGTAAGAGGAATTACTGTTAACAGATCCGAGCAAGGTCACTATAATCTTTTGTTTTGAATTCAGCCTAAATGAAACCATACAAGTGGGCCATGTTATGGCGTCTGGTTTGAATCCCTACAGATTCTGGATGCTAATTCAGAAGACAACCCATTATAATAGAAAATAGCAAAATGTAGGCAGCAGCTTTTGGAGCAGACGTGCTTTGCTTGTCAGGTTATACTCAGTATTTCAGGCCAGTAAATCTTATCAGCCGAGATGAACAAATTCAGGGAGTCTGGGGGTGATGGAAAAGGGAAACACACTACTATGAGCTTTTCCCTTACTGTCCCTTCTGGTCGTGTCCTTGCAGCTAAACAGTTCTCTTTCAGTAAGTCACATGGCAGATGTTAGCCATTAACCCAATTTAAACTACTTTTGTTTCTTTTCCAGTACATTCCCATCAGCAGCATGAACCACAAATAGTGCCCAGCAATTGGTGAGCAGCAGATGCCCGAACACCACGTTTCTCATCTCCTTTCAATACCCCTGACTCATGCATCCTGTCTGAGCTAATGTTATTTTCCTGACTGCAGTGTGTCTGCACCCTTGGACTCTCCACAAGGGCCCAAGCCATCCCAGAAAGCTCACTCTTCCTCTCTAGACTTCAGCTTCACTGTGCTTTTGGAGACTGTCACTCAAAGCTACCTTGCTATGCCAATTCACATCCGGAATCTGTGAATTTACACTGGTATATCAGTCCCCTGCTTTTCCTCTAATTTTAAAATAATTCTAGGCCATCGCATAAACATACCATTCAGTTGCTGACTTTATTTGACCTCTACGAAGAAAATGATCTACCGCCACCACCAGTTATACACATCATACTGCCATTATTACATAATCACATTCTCCCACTTGAATGAAAAGCCCCCCAAACAGATCTGAAGCAGAATAGACCCATTCCTTGTTTGTGAGGTACTTGTGCCCTTATCTTCCTGATACTTTGCAATTCTACTGTCCAAATTGCTGTCATGTTCTAGGTACTGCAGCAGTGATTTCACATTGGTTAAGACCATCTCTGTTTCTACAGGTATGAAGATCTGGGCAATGGGGGAATGTACAAGACCAGAAGTCTACAGGCTCCCAATTCAGATTTATTTGCTTAAGTAAAGCACTGTTCATCTAAGCAATAATTACCTCAGTAATTAAGTGGATAGAGGACAGTGTCTCACCTTAAACCGTGACAGCAAGGGTAGAAGTAGTAACGACAGTAGCAGCTGCATACTCTCACACTTTGAGTAGGAAATTTACTGAACTTGAGGCAACAGACACAGGTTTGGTTGGCTGGTTTCTTTCTTCAAATCAAGAATAATGCTATTATCCCAAGGGGTTGTCCACCCAAAAGAAACAAACTTGAGATGGTGAGCCTGAAGGGTAACTGTGAATGCAGGAAGTAGCCAAGCAGGAAAAGGGATTCAGATGTCAAAGATCATGTTTAGTTACTTACTACATCATAAGCTTCCATCCTCCTGGTTGAGGAAGAAAGTTATCATCTTTTCCTTCTTCCATAGGCTATTTCTGCTGATTACTCGCAGTGTTTATTCTACCTGCCAATGGGCTGTGAAGGCATTAGCCACCCTACCGCCAGGCATGTCATACACAGAGGGGAGTCCTGCTCCAGAGTTCAGGCTGAACAAGACTTCTTCAAAGAAATCCAGCAGTAATGCTACTGTTGAGACATTTGGAACAAGTACTAGCGATCTTCCAGTAATGTTGTGATGACCATGATATGTAGCTCTTCTTCAGTTCCATTTTTAAGCACTGCACACTCCCCCTTATTCGTGAGACAATAAATCAACTCTCAAAGTGCCATTTGTTTCCGATTGCACTCCTTTTATGAAATACAAAATTACTGATGAAGCAGTTCAGTTTACAATAATGCAGTTCAACACTGAAGAAATGTTGAGCAAAGTAAGATGATAGGTATCACAAAACCCTGTTCACCCCAAGAAATTGCATGGGGTGTGCAATGCACAGCTGAATACTACTGTGATTTTCACACTCTACTGTTGAAAAGTTACAGTGAAAGAAAAAAGAAATCGGTGTTTTTCATTCTGAATTGAAATTGTTCAGAAAAGTCTACACTGGAATTCATGCTGTGCATGTGAATCATTCAGATGGAGTTTAATTGCCCACTTTGTGAAAGGAAAGGATAGCTCATAGCCCCTTTGATAGCTGAAAGGAAGCTATCAAAGATGTAGGAGAAAGAATTCATTATATTCCTCCCAGTATTTTTAAACTTCCCTATTCTTGAACCAAAGCATAGCTTGCTCTGATTATCTGTTCAGAGCATTTATAATGAATATGTGCAGATTAATACAAGAAATCTCTTCTTCCCGGCTGTACAAACACTGATCACAATAGCAATCCCCAAGACCCATAATTTTCAGCTTCATTCCCAAAGTTTTGCAAAGCTGTATTTAACAGATCTCTTAGTTACACACAGCAGAAGTTGATCTTCTCTCCTCTGAAGTAAACACAGCAGGGAGTGGGGGGAAAGAGTCTTCCCAAAAATAAATGCTTTTATTAAAAAAAAAAAAAATCTGTGCTGAAATATCTGTTCAGAAAATGCTCTTTGGATGTAGAAGGGTTTTGAATTAAATGTTCTGTGACTAAGAATATCACAATTTTAGTTCTTGAACATCAGACATTCAATCATATTATATCTAATTAAGGGTCAATAGTTTCTCCCTGGGAACTATTAATTTTAGAATTTTCCAGGAACTGAGTTTCCATGTTATTATATGCATATTTCTCCATATAAAATATGGTTAAAATATTTAAACTACCTAAGAACCCGATTCAAATCTGCCCTTGCAAATGCAAAATGACAGAAAGTGACAAAAGTGTGGCATTTTACATCAGTTGAACTCAATAAATAGAGCACATCTGAAGTTACTCTGAAACAGTCTGAATATTAGAGCTGATTATTTGTATTACCACTAGCATTTATAGGTATATTTTATGTTGCACTTACAGAGAACGCAACTGTACGAAGATGCAGAATGCCCGCATTCACCATGTTACAAAAACTTTACAGTACCTATTTCTGTGGGTGGTTATAAAATATTTATTTATTGCTGCATACAGCTGATCTTATTGTTGTTAGTAAGTCATATTGATAAAGTTATCATGGGAGACTGGTGGCAGTAGTTTATACAAGACTGAGAAAAGCTTACTCATTTATGTATTCACATGATACTGTATACAACACTTGTTTAATCAGTAAAAGCCAAAACAGACCTGAATAAAAACTGCTGGTTTCAACTTAGTCCCAAGAATGTAAAGAATTTAATTTTTAAGATTTATACGTGTCTCTTATCCACAGGGAGCACGAGCCCTAGCGGTCTATTGCTCTGAATTCCAAGATTGCTCTCATATCATCTTATTAATAAAACTGTCAGTCACAACACTGATCTTACGTTTTGTTATAGATTTCTTCCTTTTCTATGGCAAGAAGCTCACAAAGACTTTTAATTGATCACCTACTGTGTATTAAGAATGAAACAATATCTCTCTAGAGGAAAAAAAGTGTGTTTAAAATCAAGTTATATTTTAAAATGTTGCAGCGAAAAAAAAACCATGAACTGGTTTGAGCCAAAGAAAGTTGCTAGCACATGAAGACTAACCTATGGTTTGTATCTGATACACATTCTCCATTGTTTATCACCAAGTTCAAAGGGACCTCTATAAAAACAAAGATCTACATATGAACATCAGTGAAACCATACCAATAATTATCTTCTGGAGGAACAAAATAAAACGTGTTCACCATTCTAAAACAAACGAGACATCCTTGGCAAATGGAATCAGGCAAATCTTAAAATAAAAAAAAAAAAAATTAAAATATTTGAGATTATATCTACATTTCAAGCTAGACAAGGGAGGACTGCAAATTCAATAAAGCCTTAGTCACACTACATTTTACTAAAGCTATATCCTGGTTGATCATGTATGAACACTTTGCAGCAGTACTTAAAAGCCTGAACATCTTCACACAGTGCCTGGAATTCTAGTCACAGCAGCAGAGTTCAGATCTTCATTACTTCTCCTCACATTATGCTGTGGGACAATGATGTTCTCTTCCAATCTGCTGGAAGGCTTTGTCACTCTGGTGGTGTACTGAGTTCAGGCTTATATTTAATAGCATCATTCAGGACAGGGTATTTTCTGGTGGAATCAGTTTAGCTTCCCTGTAGTCTCTTTTTGAGCTGTCTTCCCACTAGTCTTGAACATTTATTCCAGTAGAACACAATTCCATACAGATATTGCCTCTTTTATATTCTGCATAGTCTCACTGAATTTGAAGAAACCTAAATTTCTGCAGTTATTGCCATATCCTCTCACCTCCAATATTTTACAACCAATTCAACAGTGATTTTATGTTTTTCAAAGCAACAAATTTTAATTAGGCTAAATAGAATCAGCTGTTATGGACAACAGCAATTATCATTCAGTTACTGTGAGGAAGAGAAAGACAACTCAATTCACTAGTCTATGAACTTTTCAAGACAGCATGAAGTTACACAGACAACTTGGACTGATTTTCAGCAGGGATCGATACAGAACTTCCATAGAAAGGGGTAGGCAAAATCTTAGGAATTGGAATTATCTGCTATATTAGCCCTATACCTATTCTTTCAAGGAGAAAAGCATTAGTTTTGTTTTGTACAGGTGGATGAGCACAAAAACCTAAGCACATTTAGAAGCTTACCCACAATAATCAAATACCAAGGACGTTCTGTGCACTGCTTATCTACTCTTTCTGCATAAGAAGAAATAGCATCATTACACAGGATGGAGAGAGGAAACCTACCTCCCTTAGAAGTCATTCTTAACCACATATGTCTGCGAAAATACTCTGTAGATGTGATTAGGAAACTTATGTTCTGACTTGTTATTTATCACTGCTGGAATTAAGTCATGCTTTTTCCTTTTCAGCTTCAAACACACTGTCAACATCAAAATGCTTTGTTGCTTAAGAAAGAATGAAACCATTTACACACTTAATTCATTACTACTATTCTTAAGAAATTGAATTTTAATTTGAAACCAAGTGTGGAAGATTCTTCTACCACCCCCACCCTCCCTTCCCCCCCTCAGTCTAATGCCGACACAAGCAATTAATCCATTTCTGATCTTATTTCCATTCTCAGCAAAACTTCCCTAGCTCCTGGCTGTGGACTCAAAGTAATTTCTTATTGAAAGACTGTTCCTTGTACTGCGCTTGTGACTTCTGTGAGGAAGCCACATTGATAGTTTCTGGGTGAGAACTGACCCAAAATACTGTGCCTATTCTCATTCTTAAAGTCGCTGCACTGGGCGGCATTGTCTGAATCTGTCTAACAAAGTCTAAACATACCTTCAATTGAATAATATAATTATATCAAATATGTCTACAACATTTTCTGTGGAGATAGATGAATTAAAATCCGGAACATGCTAATATTTGGAAGATTTGGTAAGTTGTGTAGATATGTCATATTAGGATTTTTTGTTTTGTTTTTTGTTTGTGGGTTGTTGTTTTTTTTTTTTTTCAACCATATGATTTTTATTTGCAGGTGAAACTGTAAAGTCATTTACATATAAAGTACAGAATATCAGCAAATAATAAAACCCATGATTTTCAATGAAGCAATATCCATTAAAAAGGATCTTGTCTATGTCCTCTTAGTTCAGCCTACATACTGTAAATCAACTCAGAGTATAACACATTTTGAAGCAATGGAAGTTTTATATACTAT